CCGAGAAACTTATGCTACGAAAAATGCTATCTCGGATCATGAGAAAATGCTTCCAAAGCAAGAAGCAAACACAAATGACTGATTTCTTCAAAAAAGTGTAGTTTTACAGTTATGCTTTTGTAATTACATAATACACTACAGTATTAAAACAGTACATATGTATCCTTGACGCCTTCTCGTAAGTACAAAGCCCTTTTCGGTTTTCATTAACAAAATGCATTTTAGGTTAGTTTTGAGTCATATACTAAAATATTAAGTGTTAATTAAACATTTTCTGCTGTTTATTTTACGTTTTATTGTACATAAAATGATTTTTCAAAGTTGGAATGACTGTGTTCTCTTTTGCTATACCCGTTTTTAGCTTTTTTTGGATTATCCGTGATGTTTGTTATCCACGGCGGCCGCGCCGCCCAATTCCGCGAATAATCGGGAGTGTACTGTACATGGGTTTTAAGGTAAAGAACAATAGAACATAGCAACACAGAGGTTTTGCATGGCAGGAGAAGTTAAGAAGAAGAAATGACATAATTGCTCGTGAAGCAGTATTTATACTAGGCAGGTGCATACTTACGGCTAAGCTGCAAGTGGTTAATTTTAGGTTTTAGTTCTCTTTGCAAGCAGCTTTATGTAACTTGAAAAGATCCTGAATTTGGGAGAAAAGATGAACATGGGAGAACATCAAATTTGGAATAGTCAATTTTGAGGTTGCCGAATTTTTCTTAGCATAGCCATCGTACTTTATAATATCTTATACATACATACATATATATAGTATATACACAATACAAAGTCAGAGATCGAGAACTATCGGGACTTTAGCAATTCTGGATTTTGGAAATTTCCTGATTTTAAACCATCAGTTTAAATCTAGTAAGATGATATTTAGAAATTATTAAATTAAAAATATGAAATAAAATAGTTGTTTATACAAGAGTCATTAGGCATTTTTGATGCTGGAGAAGTGTCACTGGGACTTAAACCTGGACCTCATAAATATGCGCTGTATACTACCGTTGCCCCACAAAGGCACACTGGAAAGAGGGAGAAAATACCTTATAAAATAATAAAGCATTTATGATCCTAAGGGAATAAAAATGAACAGAAAAGTTACTATTTATTTGCTTTATTACATATGATTTTCAATGCAAGTTCTTTCATTTTTTATGCTTATACTTTCTTTTTAATTTTATAGACAGATAATTTCCTTTTCAGTTACTTTCACTAATATGACAAAAAAATCTCAAGCCAATAACATCATTAAAGGCTTTAGCGGCAGCTGAAGTGTTCTGCAATGTATAGTATCTTAAAAATAGAATGTATAGTATTCTAAATGTTAAAAATATTTTTATTGATATTGAAAACGACTGATTAAATCATTCTGGATACATGGTCACTTTGACACTCATGGTAATGAACTGGCCAACTCATTTGTGATATCTGAAACATTTTTAAAATTCTTGTAACCCCCTTTCCAGAAAAAATCCTCAAAAGTTTGGTTAGGAAAAAATGGGGAGAAGCATGGGACAATGGAGATATAAGAAGGTGTATAAGATTAGTTGTATAATGTGTTAATACTAATTTCGGTATCTCTTTTATGGTCAGATTTTCACTTGATTTAGGCTACAACAGGACAAGAAAAGTTTTCACAATATGCAAACTATTTCTTCAAAGTGAATGTATGATATAACAAGGAAAACTATATTTGGAAATGTTAAATTACATTAGCATTTAAAACTAAATTTTTCAGCAAAAGCTCTTCTAATGACATTAAAGTATCATTTACAACCCTAAAATATTGCATAAGTACAAATACTAGTGGAGAACAGATCTAAGGCAGATGGTATTATTACTAATAAGTAATGATGAGGGATATTAATTTCTAGCCTATTTTGATGCACAAACAATGTTTTACAGAATGCAGTGTCTTATAAGTTATAGATTGCTATGTTATGCACTTTTTATTGCAAAGTTTATTCTTTTTTGTGTACTGATGCTGTACACACATGCACATATATATATATTTACAGTGGTAAGATTAATAGTAAATATTGCTATCTTCTACGTTACACAGGGTAAGTAGCCACATTTTAGTTAAAAAAATAAGCACCTATAAGCACTTTTAAAGCACATTTTAAGGGGGAAAAAAAAGCACCTGTCTAATTACATTATACACAACTGCATAACCTTAAAAGAAAAATTAGACTTGTAATTTAAAATATGAGCAATGCAATATTTATTAAGAGAATGAGCATTACCTCAACCATGGAAAACAATTAACCCTTTTTTTTTAATTTTAAATGACAGTTCAATTTACAGAATTACTTTACAATGAGAGAAAAAAAAAAACTATGCAGAACTAAACTATATTACAAGATTTGATGATGAAATTTCAGTTCAAAAGATAGAAAATAAATAATAATAAGTCATATTAATTGTATTCGTTTGGCACCTAATAATAAATGCAATTTATTTTCCCACTCATATTAATATTTAAATAATTTAACTTAAATCAAAATTCTGAACATTTTCTAAATTTTCATTGCATAACAGTTTTAAATTTAACATATTCCAAGCAAAGTAATTTAAGTAAAAAAGAGGCACATTTCTGAAATCAGAAGACAGGAAATTGCTTCATACAATCATCCTTTAACAGTAAAAGCTGAACTAACTCACATACTTGGAAATTGCCGAATTTTCCGGATAGTAACTGGAAAAAGAGGAGTAGGGGAGATTGTAGCCGTTCTTTAGATTTCTTGGCTAAATAAATGATTTTGACATTTCCATATGTGCATCATATAAAAATAGACCAACAGAACTGAGAAATATTCTGCTTAGAAAGCACAGTAAAACTCTTTTAAGTGTTCATAAACAAATCTCAGACTGAACATCAAAATTAATTATCTCTGCAAAATACCGCAAACGGTATTGCGCAATACGTGTGGCGTATTGCGCAATACCGTTTGCAGTATTTCTAATAATTCTTCCACATGTGATATTACGCAATCGGAATCAACAGCTGCTGGTATTCGAAGAATAAAGAACTAAATAAAGGAAAAGAAAGAGACTTACTAATCTGGGGTGTTTCTGATTCTAATTTTCAACAGACTGCGTTAAATTTCCGGAACAGAATCAATCTTTGCAAAAACCGTTGGGTAGACCACAAAAACTTTTAGTCCTATTCAATCCAGATTGGACAGTGACCAAAAAAAAGTCCGCTGCTTCAATATTAGAGATTTTGTGGAGAAAGGGGAGAATCTCCCAACCTCCGTACTGTATAATGTATTGGAAAAAAAAAAAAAAAAAGAAATTATTTTGACTATGCGATTACGTTCCTTTTATTTAAGCCATTCCAAATATTATTCCTCAGAAAGCTAATCTGTGTAAAAACACATCCATTTTTGGAAGTTTATCTATACTTCAGCAGTTACTGCAACTATATTATTATAAATATTCATGCATATGCTCATAATATAAGCATAAAGATCATAATAAACACGACTATGAACTGACCACGCGGAACAAGAATGCAAATTAGTAAAACCTTGATAGAAATTCAAACATGTGTTTATGTTTATTATTTGGGTGGGAGGAAATAAATATAGTATTTGGGTGGGAGGAAAAGAATACTGAATGTACCAGAATTTTCTACCGGTTTCGCAATTCTTTGACCAATAGAACGACGTGCACATGTCTACTCTCGTGCACACCATAGGTTACGTTAATGCAGGAAAAAATGCGCGTTCATTATAAAAATAGGATTAAAAAAAAAAAGCACTAAAAGCAAAAAATAAGCACTGAAAACAAACAAACAAAAAAAAAAAAAAAATAAGGGCTTTAAAGAAAAAGTAAGCATCTATAAGGGCCCTTATATTTTATTTTCAAATATAAGGACTTATAAGCACTTGTAAGGACCGCTACGAACCCTGTTACAAAAGTCTTGATTTGGCAGTTTACTGATGTCAATGCTTTTTTCTCCCAAAAAGACAAATTTTGTTCCGATTTTTTCATAGATTGTTAATTACTATACTGTACATCGAACAAAAACTGACTGCAAAACAGATTATGAAAACAATGATTCACTAATGAGAAAAATAACATTATAAGGTATTTCTCCTGCCTTCCTAGCATGCCTTCGTGGTGTAGTGGTTCTGCATGCTGGACCGGTATTCCAGAGACTCATGGTTCAATTCCCGGCGAAAGCAATTGCTCATTTTTCATCTCTCCGGCTTTTCCAAAAAATCATAATGTCTCTACAACATTTAAGAATGTTAAAAAAGTTTTAAAATATAAACACAATGTTTCAACTCACTTTCCTATATATGCCATTTCAATATTTTGTAGCACTGCTGGTGTGCATTTAGAAAAGCAGCGAACTCCCACTGTGACCACAAAAACCTCTGGCTAGACTACTGACAATAAACCTATACTTCAAGAAAATTACCATGGGATATTTGTATCTAAAAGCATACTAATGCCTTCCCAAATACATGATTTTTAAACTATATGAAACAAAATATTTACAATGGGTCATTTTAAAAAGCATAAAACTTGGATTGAAAACTAACATTAAACAAATAAATGCAATAGTGTGTGTGTGTGTGATTATAGCAAAGCCTCGAGGGCTATCTGTCTAAGAGGATGGATGCCTTCGTGGAGGACTTTCTAAGGGAAACTGGCTCGTATACACGTTACACATGGGGAAAACCATGAAAACGCCCATGCAGCCAGCCTGTCCACGGGATTCGAACCTCAGACCGAACAACCAGTGTTTACTGCTCGGCCGCTGGAGGACTAAATGCAATAGTTTTATGAAACTAAATTTTAAAAAAGTAAAGGAGGAAAATGGGGAAATTATATGATATATATATATATATTAAAAAGGAGAAAGAATACAGATACACACATTATTGAAAATCAAATTTGAAAATATTGTTAGATTTAGGAAGAAGAAAACAAAAGAGGGAATAATACACAAAATAAATACGTATGGTTTATTTTACCTTCATGAAGGCAAATTCTTTCACAGCAGCTAGTCTTGATAAATACAACCATGATGTACTGTTTCTATGTTTATGATAATCTCTCTTTTCTTTAATCTTCCTGAATGATACTCTTCCTAATCTAGAAAAATTTCAAGAAACAGTTTAACAAAACAACTAGCCATAGCGTAAACTATGTAAACACATGTAAGTTTTTCATGTAAACTCTCAGGTGGATTACATAACATTTTTAGAACAAAAGAAATATTTTGAAGTAGCTGTCCCTTAAAAATGCTATAACAATTCAATATTTACCATCTCTATTTTGATAGTTACATCAATAATATTACAAAAACTCAGAAAATTTAATATGCAAAAAATGTATGTAATATTGAAGGAATGTTTAAATTACAAACATTTCACTCAATATACAGACTCTTTGAATCCAGAGATAAAATAACATATTTATGAAACAGTTGGGTAATATTCTTTTTAAGAATTAAAGAGGGAAAATATGGAAATCATATGAAACTAAAAGAAAAAAAAAAAAAAAAAATCTGTTTTCAGGCAAATGAATTTAGTTTCACATAGAAGATAGATTAAAAAAATTTTAATTAAATGCAAATATAATAATTCAAGTTAAGAAGCAAAAATTCAAGCTATCTGTGCATCTGTACCTCACATTAACCTGTTTAGTGCCGTGTTTTAACTCGGTAAGCCCGAGTTAAGAGCGGCACTGAACAGGTTAAGATACAATGATCTTTCTAAGAATACACAAATAAGTAAAATAAAATAAATGTATGCATAAAAGCATACTGTTATTTAAAACAGTAGAGAAATAGAGGATTAAAAATTCAACTTAACTCAGGACTTAGGCTCTGATGATTTTGGCTTAAAGAAGACAAAATAAATTTTAAAATTAAAAAAGCACATTAATGAAAATAATTTTTACTTGAAATTTTTATGCAACATATTATTATTATTACAATGTATTATGATATACACAGATATAATTATTTTTTCCATCTTTATATAGGCAGTGAAATGTATATCCCCTCAATACCACTATCCCTCTCTGAGGGTATAGATAAGTGATTCCTCTATATTTTTCATCTTTACTTCTCTTTTGGCAACAGTGCAAGGAAAAAAGACTTTAGTGCTGCAAAGAGGACACTTCCAATATGTTAAACTTCGGTGCTAAAAGCAGTATGTTAAACTGTAATATTAAAACTGAATTTCTATGTCAATCATGAAATTTAATAAAACTGTCCCACACATAATAAAATTGTAAGCATAATATTATCATATATTTAATTAATTTTTACTTGAGTATAAATATTAGAACAAAGAAGTGACATAACTTTTGTGAAATTGTAACTTCCCATCACATGTTAAAATTTTACTCAAAAATAATGATGAAAAGCAGATATATTTTTTTCTATTTGAATTTTTTAAACAATTGTTTTACAGGTTTGTTTTCAAACTTTAGGATATTCTAGACTGAATTCACTCTTTTCCAAATAATATTACATCATTACCTCCTGGTTGATTACACAGTTTTGTAAATGTAAGTTCTTTTTTTTGGGGGGGGGACTACTACTTGCAGGAAAATCATGAATTTATTTAGAATTTACAATATGATATAAGAGAGTATTATTTCTAGTTCTGCTCAAAATAAAAATTAGAAAATCCACCTATTGCAATCTTTGCTTGATTACATATGGACAACATTGGATTAATATTCAGTTGGGTTACAAGTTTGATGGCCTTTGGCAAATATTAATTCAGCAGTAATTATTACGAAAGCAATAACTAAAAAAATAGTAGCTTGTTTCAATACTGAATACGGAAACCAGCCACTAATATGTTGAAATGTTGCAAAATTGCCAAAACTACCTAAGTATACAAGATGTTGTGTTAATTAGCTAGTTATTATGAACTGAACGTCTACTTTCACTTCTTCTTTCTGTACTCCTCACAAGAATGCAAATTAGTTGCTGTACATTTAATATGAGGGTTTGAATGTTTTAAAGTTACAGCTTCTGGCAGCTTCACCTTCCAGTTACAAACTACCTGGAATAACTGCACAAGAGAGATCAGACCAAAGATCACTTTTCAGAATTACAGGAAATAAGCATTATATAAGAAAAGTTATTGCTTTGCTACTTTTATAATGAAGAGGGCAGAATGCTCAAATTTTGCTATTATAGAAAGGTAGATATCTTATTTTTACATATCCCCATTACAAGAAGAAAAAAAGCTTTTCTAGAGACAATGCGCTAAAGCATTAGCAAATGAAGAAAAACAATTTGAAAAATACAAATAGTAAAATGTGAGCAAAATAATTGTTTTAGATAATTAAAAAATACAAACTTTCATAATATTTTAGTCCTGTTAAAAGTTACTGAGTCCTGTTAAAATTTTCAGTCCAAAAATATTATAACCTATATTTTAACATCATAAATTTTATAACAGTATTACTGAAATTATGGTTTTCATTGTTATTATTACTTTTTTTACTTTACAAAACTGGAAGATGTTACAGTTTTCTCCAAATGCAAGCATATCCATCTATTAGGAAAATCCACTTAAATTGATTGAACTATTAATTCATTCGTGGTTAAGGACTGCTCTACTATTACTCATAAAAGTCTTTATGAACTACACTCATCATTCCATCATACATTAAAAAACAATAATAATAATACGGCACACAGTCTGAAATCCAAACATCCAAATATCCTGAATGATCTAAAATCTGGACCTTAAAACCACCAACAACATTTTTCTCGTAGGCTTTACGCATGAGCATTTGATTCCTCCCACCACGCATAATATAACATCTGGAGAGTCCTGATTCTTAATTTCACTTCAACACTAAAATAAATACCTTGTTATTGAAGTAACAATAATTTTAGAATAAATCTGTACGATCAATAATTTGGCTCCCTTACTGCATATCTGCTTGGCACACATCTCAAACCAAAACATTCCATATAGATACATCGTTGATCTGATGGCAAACCTGGTGAATCATTATTTACTATACTTTCCTTTCATCACCACATGCTTATCAACACATGACAACTTGAGTAATGATTCATTGTAACGATGAATAAATAATTTTTTATGTTAGTAATTGAATAATAAAGGAGTATGGTAACCTTTTATGCTGACATTACATTTGGCGACGATTACAGATTTAAGTTAAATGTGCTAAAACATGTTGGGGAGGAAATATTTACCGAAAATTTATTTCCATATGCTAAAAAGTAGATTTTGTTGATGATATTCATAGACCAAAGATTACATTTAGGGCTATTTGAATTAAGAATAACTGATTTTTCACAAAAATCCAGAACCAGCACCAGGGTTCCTATGTGCTGTTGGCTTTAGTTTTTCCATATGCAAATTTTGGTTGGAGGTAAGCTAACATGGTTGCTGCTGATTGGCCGAAGACGTCAAGATCAGCAGGTTGGCTGAGTATTATACATATGTACGACGGTATCGGCGGATGTGTTATTATGAGTTAGCATAATGCTAGTATTCTTTCACTCAAATGATTTTAAATGTAAAGGCTACAGTGTTAGCTTATTTTATTTTAATTTACGGAATAAAGCATGAATTTTATTTAGATTAGTCTTAGCTTTATTTAAGGAGAGCAAAATATGCTTTGCCTTTATCGCCACTGCCAACAGGGTTATGGGCCCAGGGCCAACAGCTAACCTGTTACCCAGTTCAACTCAGCATTGAAAGAATGTAGGTGAAGAGGGCCGTTATCCACGAAAAGAAGCTGACCTGTCTTAGAAGTTTGTTCAGGTTGTTGTGCATCATTTAATTGAAGATGTCATTACCACCTGAAGGTTTTGAGCTGTTAAACCATGATAACTGGGATCGATGGAAAGTTGATATGAAAATGCTGTTACTGGATAGAAATTGTTGGAGCTTCATAGAGGACAAAGAAGAAGGATTAGATAAAAGTGAAACAAGCTGTGAAAAGCAGGAATTCACATTGAGAGAGAATAGAGCCTTCACTACATTATATTATGGAATTAAAACTGAGTTCAGGCCGCTGATACAAGAATGCTCAAGTGGTAAAGAAGCATGGGAAGTTCTACAGAAGCAATTCGAACCCAAAACAAGAGCAAGGATAATTCAGTTACTGGATGAATTTTTTAGTATTAGATATACCCCAAATGAAGAAATAGGATTATTCATCGCGAGGATAAGAATGACTGCAAAGAAGTTGGCTGAAGCTGGACATAACTTGGCAGATCTTTTTAAAAGATTTCAGGCAATAAGGAGATTACCCCAGGAATACTACGGCATTGTACAGTTGATCTATAGGTGGAAGGACGAAGATTTTACGCTGGAAAGAATTGCTGAAGACCTGGTAAGGGAGTAAGGGAAGAAAGCCGACTTCGCCAGGTAAATGCCGATTTAGAAGACAGCAAGGTAAGCGTGTTTAATACTATTAGTTTTCAAATGCAGGGAAAGATAAAGTTGAAAATAAAACTAAATCTAAGAAAAAAAAATGGGGGAATATGAGAATAGGACCTTGTTTCAGATGTCATAAATTTGGGCACTTAATCGCTCAATGTAAAGAAAAATGTAAGTAAAAATCAGAAGTTTAAAATAGACGATAAAAATGGACAGTTTTAAAGATAAAGAATTAATGTTAGTAGAAAATTATGTAACAACTACAGATAAAGGAGGTAACGCAGATAAATTTAATTGGGTCGTAGATACTGCAGCTACAACTCATTTCTGTAACAACAGAAATTTAATGACAAATTTTGAAGAAATAAACGATATACGTATGTCTTAACGATTTGAAGAAATAAACGATATGCATGCTGTAGGAAATTGTGAAAGTAAAGTACTAGGAAAGTGTACCGTCAAATTTGCAGTAAAAGTAGGCAATCAAATAAATTGGATTGAGTTAGATAATGTGTTATATAATGAAAATCTAAGAAGAAATTTACTATCAGGAGCAAGGTTAGAAAAGGCAGGTGCTCATTTTGTGATTTCAAAAGGGAAGATATGGATATACTTTAATAATTGGGATAGATTATGCTACGCTAAACGATATGACGGACTTTATCACGTAAAACCATTTAGATATGCAACAGATAAAAGGGA